GTAGAAACATTTTTAAAATTTAACAAATTACCACTAGCTATTTTGTTTGTTTATTTTGTTGCTGAGCACAAAGCTACACAATTGGCTACCTGTGCTGTGCAGGGGAGTATCCATACTTTTAAATACTATATGCACAAAATTCCTTAATGTATCAACAAAAACCATGATTTGGTTCAAAATATATTTAATTACAAAGATATGTGTGTATAGTTATCGCTGGATTGATTATGATTCTCATTACAAGATACTTTAGATATACACACATGCATATAATGCGTATGCCTAGTTACACTGTTGCTATGTCCACCATGGATATTAAAACCTAGTTTTTAGTATCATAAAATTTCAGACTTACTGTTGAGCCACTAAAAGACACTAAGACTAGCTTAATAATTCAAATAAAACTCACACTGAAAAAGGAATCTATTTTGAGACGTAAAAATTACAATTATATGTAAATTATCTGAAGTTCCACTTCTATTATCTCTGTCTCAGCTAACTTCTGACAGTCAGGTCACGAAGAATGGAAATACAATGCAAAAATAATGGAGAAAGAGGAAGATAGAAAAGCTGTTAGACATTTATAAGTGCAATACCCTAGTTTTAGTTTTAGAAACATGCACTACCACATTAGAAATAAAGAATAACTGTTTTTCTAAGTTTTAAAAAGTAATAAATGTATATAATAAAACTGTCAAAGGAACTTTGTGTACTTACAAGTTTATAGCACTGACTGAGGTTCCTATAACAACCACTAATTTTACTATCTCCAATCCTTCCGTAATAGACTGTATATAGCAATGGAGGTTGAGACACATTTTTACAAGACGTAATCACATCCACTGGTATCAGCTTAACAGTGACTGAGATTGAAGATGTCTCCATCAGTTCAGCCACTTTGTTATAGTGTTGAGGAATCAGGCATGAAGGCTCTAAGAAAAAGTTATGTTTTAACAATAGTCTCACTTAAATGAGTTTACCTATGTTTGTATTCTACCATTTAATATGGGTCTGTGGCCTTAAATTTTGTACCTTCAGTATTTCAATTTTAATCTTCTTTTCTAAGGAAAATGTACACAATTCATAAAAATGAAAGCGACTGTCTTCGTATACAAGTCCTCTTGAATAGTGTATGAGCACAATATTACATATGAAGTAATATATGTGATTATCATGAAACCACTTTCAACAGGACAAAAGTAAAATATTCCTCAAACCTAATATTAAAGTTACATTAAACTGTCATTTATTTAAAAACGTGCAAGGAATCTTACATGTTCATAACTTCTTATAAATACTAGAAAAAGCTTTGTTTCAGTTTTATATGGCAAGCAAAGCAATGCTGTTGAAGCAAACTACTCCCACACAAAAACTAATGTTGTGAAACTTTACAAACTTCTATTCAAGAACAATTTCCCAATGCAAATCTTTGTACTTCAAAGTATTATAAACAGTTTTATACATTCTGAATAACAACAGTTAAATATATAAAATATATAACGAAAAAAATACATAAAAGGTACACTGAACTCTACGATAAAAGAAACATTTGTGATATTTTACCTGGGAAGGGTTGTAAATGACGACCTACTGCTTTAATGCTCTGAATCCCAACAGCTTGTTCAGATATAATCTTTAATTCTGGATTGAAAGACATCATAATCTTTTTAGGTTCCTGTGCCAGTGATGAAACCCATTCTTTTCTAACTGCTGTCTTGCTGGCAACGAACAGTTGTTCAAGTGATGCATTATACCAGTAAATGCTGTTTTTGTCTGCTGTTATCAAGGTTGGAGGTAAGCCTAGAACACATTATTATAAAGTTCACTTACTAATTACATAATACAAATCTTTGTATTTTGTTTAATAAAGTATTAATGCCTGAGCAACCTTCATATCCCTTGAGAAGCA